AAATCGCCCGAAAGAGACTAGAGAATTTGAAAACAAGGAGCAATCCGCTCGAAAGGAACTAGAGAATTTCAGCAGAAGGAGCAAATTGCTCGAAAGAGACTAGAAAATATGAAAACAAGGAGCAAACCGCTCGAAAGGAACTAGAGAATTTCAGAAGAAGGAGCAAATTGCTCGAACGAGACTAGAGAAATTGAAAACAAAGAGCAAACCGCTCGAAAGGAATTAGAGAATCTCAGCAGCAGGAGCAAATTGCTCAAAAGAGACTAGAGAATCTGAAAACAAGGAGCAAACCGCTCGAAAGGAACTAGAGCATTTCAGCAGAAGGAGCAAATCGCTCGAAAGAGACTAGAGAATTTGAAAACAAGGAGCAATCCGCTCGAAAGGAACTAGAGAATTTCAGCAGAAGGAGCAAATTGCTCGAAAGAGACTAGAAAATATGAAAAAAAGGAGCAAACCGCTCGAAAGGAACTAGAGAATTTCAGAAGAAGGAGCAAATTGCTCGAAAGAGATGAGAGAATTTGAAAACAAGGAGCAAGCCGCTCGAAAGGAACTAAAGAGTATTTCAGAAGAAGGAGCAAATTGCTCGAAAGAGACTAGAGAATTTGAAAACAAGGAGCAAACCGCTCGAAAGGAACTAGAGAATTTCAGCCGAAGGAGCTGATTGCTCGAAAAAGACCAGAGAGCCCGGGAAGGGCGGAAGCCCGAGGCCAGGAAAGGCGTACCCGGGCGATAGCGCCACGTGTGGATGAATCTAGGGTTTAGGGTTAAGGGTTTAGGGGTTTAGGGTCCTTACTCAAAAGTAAAAAAGCTTTGTGTGGCCTGTCAAGGTGTTTTCTGCCTTCCTCTGGCTTCATTTATCTTCATTTGTTCCTTTTACCAGCCTTTACCTCCGGGGCAATTTCAAGCCCCCCACAGCGCCCAATTAAACCCCTGGCCACGACAAGGAGGGCGTTCTTTAAGACCTCTGGGTGGCAAGGGGTACACAAGACGACCTTTTCAAACCCGTTAACTCAACATCTCGGGCACGAGGAATCTCGATCCGGCTGCAGAGGGGCCACTGAAAGAAGCCCTGTCGGAGGGGAAGGCTTTTTTTGTTCATGGATACGTGGCAGGGCAGAAGAAAAACCCGTGCGCGGGAGAAAAGACTTTTTTTAGACCCCGTCCACGTTGGTGGAGATACAGAGAAGGCCCTGCTCTGTCCACGCGTGCTCGAGAAGCTGTTGAGCGTCAGGCCTACCCAATGCAGAGAAAGAGCCTTTCGGACAGCACTCAAAAGAAAACCTACCGGGACCAAGAAAACTCAGCCGGTACCGGAAGAGGCAAACCGCCGCTAATCGGCACCAAATTCATCGGTTATTGTGGGGTATCGCACACACGCACGGAAGCGGTTGATGCTTTTGATAAGGGAAACAGGTCTTGTCATGATGTTGATGATAACGACGATCGACCATAGCGACGCAACGCGTCGCTTCTCAAAGCGAATGGGGTCCTGTCAAGCAGTCAGGTCGCACAAGGCCCGAAGACTGAACACAAAAGCAAATCGATATCAACTCGCGCAACAGCGGATATTTCTCTTGGAAACCGAACCAGGAACATGCGATTCCAAACGGCAGAAATCTGCTGAACTGATGCCCAAGACCTGTTGCCTCGTTGACTGAACTTTCAGACCATCCGAGTGCCTGAGGAAACATGCACGACCTAGGTTACGATGTTTGTGTCCAGAAGTCCTGGCGAACATCGGAAAATAGCACCTCGAATCAAGTTGGCCTCGGGGCGCCTGAATCAAGCAATTGCAGCCAAACGGCGCTTCATCTACGCAATCCCGCAGACAGAGCACAGTTCAAGGCAGATCCGTCCACTGACGCAGCGCGGCCATGGATAAACCCAGAGAAGAACATGATGAAGACAAAAAGAAATAAAAAATCAATCAGAACGCGTTCAAGAACACTGGCAGAACACCTACGAGCGAAACCTTACCCTGCAGATAACTGAGGGCTGCATGCACTTGCGAAGATAGGTACCATGCACCGTTGCTGTAGGAAAGTTATTGAGTTGCCTCCGCCTGGCCCTTAAGACTTGAAGAACGAGTTCGAAGCCTGGCACCTATGTATCCGAATGACCTGGTTCCTCTCTAACTCTAAAGCAGTGAAGACTCCCATCCCTAGAAACACACCTTGCCGGCTATGCTGGCTGGATCCAGCTGGCGACGGGCAACATCATCAACCAGAAGCTCGCTCACAGAGGGCTCTGTCAGTTCCGGCTGCTCTTCGACACTATGCACATCCTCGTTGCTTTTCCTCCAAATGCTCTGCATCGACCTTGCACTATCTAGCCTTTACACGCCCGCATGCTCTCACCCCGAAAACTGAAATTTTGCTTTTTTCAGGCCTGAGAGCTGTGCTTCCACAGCTCAAGGCTTAGTACCGGCGGCCTAGAGTTCAGGCTTTCGAACCGGATGAAGATTTGGGTTCTAACACGCAAGATACAGTATGCCATATAACGTACAATCTATAGCTAACGCATAGTACATAATATAATGGTATGTCATGGGTATTACATTATATGAGCTGTTATAAACGCTAGTTTTTTGTGTGAAATCGCTGCAAGGGCACTTCAGGTACCGCTACTCTGGAAGAAGAGGCACTCGCTTGCGAATTAGTATTGATTGCGTCCTTGGGTGTAGTGTGGTCCTTGGGGGCAAACAGTCAAGGTGGCTTGGTTTGGCGATGAGGCTTGCGCGTGCGCGCATGCGCACGCAAAACTCACTTAACCACGAGCTCAAGAGTCCTTTGCAACTCCTGCCGATCCTATAAGAGGGATTGTGCGAGGTTCAAGGTGTAGGCCTCGGAGGTTCGGATGTGGCGCCCTGATGCGTCTTTTTTTGTTGCTCCTGCCCATTCCGCACAGACATGCTTTGCATGCTGCCAGGCCTCAGAGCAATCATGAATGAGATGGCAGTGAGACTTGGGTATGGGCCCATTGGTCGAAACAGGATCGCCCCACCAAAGATCGCAGTCACAACCGTCATATACTCATTACTCTGTCTTGGGCCACCAGGGCCCAAAAAGAGAACCACTTGTCCTCTCAGCCGCTGCAACCTTCCGCCTTCTCAAAGGCAAGCAAAGCCGACGAAACGGCCCCAAAGCCGCACACATAATACAATATAACTCTGAATACCAATGTATATGCATACAATTAACCCTATAAGTCTATATAGACAGTCTATATGTATATACTTAAACCATTCACAGTATATACTATACAGTATCTAATCTAAAGCATACAACATACAATATATACTATAAACTCTACAACCAGCATATACTTCACGGCATGTGGTATGTATGTTTATATACACATGATACATGATATATACTTAGTATAAAGTACATGATGTACAGCATATAAATACCAGATATACTGTATAAAGTGTAGCTATCTTTTAATATGTTATATACATATATACATATATGTATGCACATACATACATGTA